CGAGGAGGTGCCCACTGCCGAGGTGGCAGAGATGGTGGATGCCGAGACAGCAGCCGCAGAGGTGCCCGCTGCTGAAGAGGCCACCGCGGACATGCCAGACGACGAGGTCATTGCCGCGGAGCCAACGCGGGCCGCCCTGGTGGAAGTCCCCTCTGCCGAGCCTACCTTGGTCGTTACATCGTCTGCCGAGCTGTTCCTGCTCGCTCCTCGTCGTCCAAGCGGCATTGTGTTCCGCTCGGTAAGCGTTGCTTTTATTTGTACTTAGCTTTATTTTTTAAAATTGCGCTACATGCTTTTGACCGAAATTTTTGCTACTAGCCTCCCCGGTCGTTGCTACCGTCCTCCATGGTCGCTGTGACTATGCCCCCAGTGCCGTTGTCCCAGGACTCGACGGTTGTGACCGAGCTGGCGGTAATTGGAGCCACGGTCGCCAATGTGCCGAGTCCGCTGCTGGTTGCTTCGGCGGTCATGACCGAGCTTTCGGTCGCAGAAGTTCCTGCCGCGCCGCTTGCCGTTGCAGTGAGTACTCAGACTTTTCCTTTGTCTTGTCATCCCTTATCCCCTAGTTGGTTGTTTCTCATTTAAGCCTCCTCTTCCATTTTCAGGAGACCACCTCCTCCGACGATCTCGAGGAATTATACGCCAGCCTCCATGAGGAGGGAGGTAGCTCGACCTCGGCTCCCCTGGACGAGGATTCCAGGGCCGTCATTGAACGGCTCCGAGAGTTCCTTTTCTTTGGGGTTCATCAAATGACCACCACCGAGGCGTTCATGGAGTTCAGGTCCTGCTTGGATGCAGCTATGGCGCTTGGTCTTCTAAACTCGGCTCAGCTGGATGAGTTACATGCTCGCTTGGCCGAAGGCGAGGAAATGATCGGCCGGTATGCTGAAGCCACTATGAGGATGGCCGAGGGATGCTCGCTCGAGCAAGAACTGGTGGTGATAAAAGAATAAGTCCAACCTGCAATGGCTCGATTAAAGGAAAATGACCTCGTTGTCCAAAGGGAGAACTAGGAACTTGCGCAGGTTGAGGCTCAGATTGCCGAGCTCCAGGCCCGTCAAGATCTCATCCTTCTGCGCCGAGACGGTGCGGTTGCAGTCAGAGCCGAGCTGAAGTCTTCAGCCAAGCAAATCCTCAAAGCAGCAACCGAGAAGAAGAAGGCATTGGCTGAGAGGAAGCTGATCCGGGCGAGGTGGCAGGCGGATATAGATGGTGGGGACATCGCCTGGAGAAGGATCACTTGCCTGATCTGGGGGATGTTCAGCGAAGGGGTCTAGGTGGGCGGCCGTTTAGAGATTTTGGGATGTAATTTTATATAGACATATATATGTATATTTTTGCTCGGCCAAAAATGGCCGTTGTTTGTAAATATGAACCTTTTAATTTAAATACAAAGCATGGGCCTCCTTTTCTGAACGATTGAATATATGCTCCTTTGCTTTAATTTCACCGCACCATTCGTTTAACTCGCTCGCCTACTTCACCCTCTTTTTCTTTTTGACTTTTTTGTCGTAGGCCCTCAGTGCCATTTTTTCTTGAACTTGCACCGAATTGTAAGCGTCGAGTCCTGACTATTTTAAATTTCTAAACCCTGGGGCATGGTTTGCGCGCAGTCCTTCACCTTTTGGCTAAGTCGCTTGATAACTCGAAGAAATCGAACCTTCAGCACCATTAATTTATTGGTGTCATAGCCGTAGGCCAAGACATAAGGAGATGTGTCCACGGCCGAGTGTTTCGATGTGCGGCGTGCCCAAAAAACCTTAAGGAGCAAGTCGCGCCAAGCCCTGGGTTTCCCTGATGAACACGGCTCAGTGTATAATGGTGTCTCCGGCCGCCTTTGAGCTAAGCCGTCCTTGGTCATACCCCGGATATCTTCGAACCGGAGCCCCTGAGGGCGCGTTTCTTGCTGGGCTGCACACGGCCGCGGGACCTGTTGCACATCGTTCTGTGGCCTTATCTGCTGGGCCACTTGAACAGGGGGCTCAGCTGGTACGGCCGAGCTGGTTGGCGCTAGATGAGCACCAAGGGTTTGGCCAAGGTGCGTGTGTGTTACCATTGGAACTGCCGAACCATACCGAGGGTGGGAGCCCAACGGGAATAACGACATCTGCAACGATGGTGAAACGGTCGGATTGCTTTGACCGTACTGATGTGGTAGAGCAGCGGTCGCGTTGCTTGGGCCAGGATGGGTCTGGACGGCCGCAGTGTGAATTGGGCCGAGTTGCTGGATCGCGGAATGCGCGAGGCTGCTTTGCCCTAGTGATACGGCCAAGGCATGGAGTGGGCCGCACGCTGTTTCTACCGGGTAGGTTGGCCCGGGATGCGCCCACGTGGCCTGGGACTGCCCCCAGCTATTCTTCAGCGGCAGCGAATGCTGACTGGAACCTGACGCTTGGGTTCGGCCAGAGATGTCGAGGCTGCTGCTTTAGCCATAAGGCTCGATCCTTTCGCGCTCTTGGCTTCTCTGTCCGGCTCTAGGAGGTGTTGCGTGCGTGGTTGCCGGCAGCCTCTCCTGGAAAAGCGTCCGCAGTTCCGAGGAAAATCTGTCCATTGCGGCCATAAAGGACGTCTCTATCCTGTAGGCATGCTTAGACATCAGATCCTCTACCACTGCTTGTTCTTGTATGGACTCGGCCGTGCGATCCGTCGTTACTGGGACACTGGCCGAGATTCTGACCGCATGTTCGGTCTCGGTGATAGTGATTGGTGAGGTGGACTCAGGAGTCTCAGAAGTCATTTCGACTATTTTGTTTTTGAGCTTTGCATGTGCCCTAGTTTCCACCATGAGTTTTTGACAAGAGTCCCACCGGGCGTGCCAAAAGTGTTGGCTGCGCAAATCTCACGGCCTGGAGCTCCGGGCCGAGGGGATATGCATTAGCACGTGACTTCCTTCTTTTGGATGCGATGCAGTTGTGCGCGGGCGTGCCAGCACGATCTACCGTGCGTCGAGATGGTGATATGGGTGAAGTGGTTAAGTGGTGCGCCTATTTGAGTTCGACTCCTAATCAAACGATTGTGGCCGAGAGAGGAACTGATCTCGGCCTTTAGGTTCACGACCTGAGCTACAAGGCCGTTTAATGGTGGTGTTGATGGTGGATTTTGGGCGTTGCTCCGGCGCGTTGCTCAGGGAGCGACGGTCGTATGATATATGGGATGAATGAAAAAGTAACTGAGATGGTGCTCCGGCGCCTTGAAAATCAAGGGTCGTATGATATATTGATGAATGGATTTTCCTTACAACCTAACACTACTCCTAGGAAAGCAAGTAAAGATATTGAAAGTGCATTACAGGAAAATATAATTTGCTCCGTGGGAGGCTTTTGGTTGGGTGTTTGAACCCTTTGAATGTAGCTTGAACTTGGTATTTATAGGAAGAGCTCTTGGAGGAGTAATCGAGGCTGAAAATTTGCATAGTGGATCCTGATCAGAGCAAGTGGGTAGTCTAATCGACATTTGGGATCGTGAAACATGGTGGTGTGACCCCATGAATCCTGGTAAATCTCGGCCGCCGCCCTGATCGTGGGTTCTGCGCTTCTAGCCGTGGGGACGCATTTAATGCCCTTGTTTTGTGGTTGGTGATCTGACCTCAATTTGTAAGAATATTTGTAAGTATGTTTGCGCCTAACCACTCTGATCTCTGTCACCAAATCCTGACTTTAGTCACTTCCCTTCTTCCCTCGTGCATTAAATGCCCTTTTGCGGCTAGTGGGTTTGCTAGTCAGAGGCGTTACTTCATTAAATGAAGCGTGGGACCTGGCTGCCACGTGACGATTTGACTCTTAATATCTTCGGCCGTGTCCCCTTTGTCCTTCGGCCTCGGCCTGATGATACCGTGGTTGTAAGGCCGAGATGACTATGCCTTCGCAACTTTTCCTTTGTTTTGAGAAAGGAAAAAAATGCCGCATTTTGGATCACGAATAGGTGCTGAGGCCGAGGGGGAAAACCCCTTCGGTTAATGTACGACCGTGATTTATTAGGCACAAACAAAAATATCCTCAGGAAAAGAGCGCGGTAAGTTCGCGGGCATTTCACTCCAAATTCATCTAAGTGTTTTGCCCTATATTCAACTCCTCTTCCTCTTGGTCACCACCTTTTCCCTTCATTCCAAAACCAAAAATATCAGAGTCCTTAGGGTTTTCCACTCTTCATTTCTTAAATTGGATACAAAAGTTCGAAGAGAATGTGAGTATCAAATCTTAGTGTGCTCATGCTCTGCTAGTTGGGGTGGCAACAATTCAGGTGTATTTCTTATCTATCCAAAGTTATTATAGTTCACATGAATGTATTTTTGCCCACTCTGTTCATCTTTCATTCTCTACAGAGTATTTTCTCTCTCTATGTACATCTCTCAGAAAGTTTTGTGCTTTCTTTCCATTCCTTAGGTACCTGACATGAATCTCACTCAATCTCAAGATGCTTCGGGGAGTTGAACCAGGGAGAACGTTGAAATGGGAGAAAAGTGAAGATTTTTAACAAACAATCAAGAATATTGAAGAGTTTGCTGCCGACAAAGAACTGGGTTTGTGTTCTTTATTGGCCAATATTCCTAATTTTTTCAAGCTTTATAGGTGGGCATTCAATATCTCTACATATCTGAACTACAACTAATCGAATTCAAAAAAAATTAGCATAATTTTTAAGTAATATAAATTATCACTCTCCAGTCAAGTTTAGTTGAGTAGTGGAGTTAGATTCCTTTCTTCTTATCTTTCCCATGGATTTGAATTGTATTCTTTGTCTTATTAGGAAATTAGGATAGTTCCTCTTCTTTTTAGTTAGTGGCGGCAAGGAGTGCCCACCACCTACTCGACATTTTCCCTCACTGAATTTACTACACCTCTTTATATTTAATCAACATATCAATATCATTTTATTTATAATAAAAAATTCAAGATATCACTATCTTGTGGCACTGTAAAAAAAAAAAATAGAACATGGAAATTCATCTTTGTTGGATGATAAAATTGATTAGGAAAGGTTCTTATGCTAATATAATATAGGTTATAGGTCTTTTCATGAACTTTTTAATGCTTTTGTGTTTTAGTTTTTGTTAATTGGTGATATTATGTCTTCTATAGTTTTGATTAAGTGATAAGCTCTTAATAATGAGATTAGTTTTCATAGTTGTAAAATAATATATTGCATAGGCCAAACCTAGTCCCAGCTGGATTTTATAAAAATAAAAAATAAATAAATAAATAAATAAAAAGGGCTCTTTATCCCCACCTAGTCCAGTGGGATTATAAAAAAATTGTTGGCTCCCCCTTGTTTGGAAAAAAAAAAAGGACACATACAACAAATGTCACGTACGTGATGCATTTTAGCCGTCAAGTAAACTTCCATGTGACGGTTCTTACATGTCAAGTGATTTTAATTGACACTTATTAGATGTCAAATAACTACAATGTTGATCCTTAGAGCCGTCAATGAATTGTTAGTTGACGGTTAAAAGGTGTCAAGCGGAACGATTAGTTGACGGTTACAAAGCGTCAAGCACAATGATTACTTGACGGTTAAAAGGCAGGAAATTTGATGTTTGAGACTCCTAAAGGGATAAGAGATCATATGTTTATAAGAGGTGTTGATCAAAGTTATAAGATATGGAGTTGGCATGGGGAGGTGGCTGATATTGGAGGAACAACAAGTAGGGAAGTAAATTTTGATCAGTCACCTAAATACGAGGAGGTCCAAGAAACTTTACAAATGGTTAATGCTGCTTATGATCCTTGTACTGCCAACCATGATTCTTTTACATGTCTTACTTCAATGCTTGAACTTACAGTGAGTTGTATCATTTTATACATGAGGTAAGCCAATGCTACATGACATTTTTTTGAGGTATATTGTATTGCACTGCTTTGACGTATTTCACTTTGTTTAGACAATTATATGATCATATGAAGGCTGAAGGTCTACTTCAGATGTTTGGCTTTATCAATCCTGCTATTGTATCATTGGCTGGAAATTTAAATAATCAACGAAAACGGGATGAGAGATCACGAAATATAGCAGATCGTTTGGTGAAGGCAAAAAAAAATCAACTCATAATCATGCCTTATAATCCTGCGTAAGACTACTCTTCAAAGCTTATTAATTTAGATTTGATTATGTAAAATTTACTGAACTCGACTAATATGTACATATTCATTTGCCATAGGTTCCACTGGATCTTAATTGTCATTGACTTCTCATCCATGACTGTTTATTATTTGGACCCATTAAGGAATGATATTTATGAGGATGTCAGAGTAGTTGTAGACAAGTAAGCCATTTCCTATTATATTAAAATTTTAACATACTTTTCATTATGATACAATCAACTAAACTAATGATATTATGCTGGTCTATAATTTGTCTAGTGGGGTTCGAATCTTATATATATATTTCAGTCTTTGCTCTGTTAAATCAATTTATTGTATTTTATTACAATGAGTATGCTAACTTGGTATATGCTGTGTGAGATCTTATTGGCTATTTCACTCAATTAATATTAACTCTCACTTGGTAGATGATGTGAGATGGGAATTCCAATTTTGGCTCTTTGAGAAGATGATATATAGGATCACAAATGTGATTTCCAGTAAGCTCTCTGTTTTTTGGAAAGAAACTGAAAGCCATTGATTGTTTGTATGGCTGCTGTGGTCTTAGAATCTTCATGAAATATGGTAAATTTGTTCATAGTTTATACTTGTTCGAAAATTGTTCGAAAATTGTTCGAAAATTCTAATTGATTACATGTATGTTACTTTTCATCTTTGGCAGTTTTGTATCATATGTAACTGCGAAATTGTTTGCCCACTGCAAAATTAAGTATCATATGCAGTTTTGTTTGGCAGGTCTTGTTTGGCAGTTTTGTTGTAAGGCTGCTGGTCATCTGTTTTGAAGGTCTTGTGTGTGCTTATATTCTATTTTTGTCACTTATAAAGTTATTTGTGCAGTTAGACTCTAGTAGTTGTACTACTTGATTATTTGATCCTACTATCTTTCTTTTAATGTGCATTTCAGGTCCTATCGAAGTAAGAACTCTCTGGATGTAAAATGGGGAATATTGTACTAGAACACAAGAGGTTTCTACTGGAAAAACTCTTTTTATTTATGAATTTTAGTGTGTATATTTGGCAATGCATGGCTTGTATAGTTTGTTGAAACTAAGTGAACAAATGCACTAGTATGATGTATTTTCAGTTGATTAGTTTCAATACATGCAAATTATTTTTAGAAGTATTCTGTGCTTTGAATTATTTTTTATTGTGATAAAGTTAGCTCTTTTGGTTTCCCAGATTTAGTTTTGATTAAGTGATAAGCTCTTAATAATGAGATTAGTTTTCATAGTTGTAAAATAATATATTGCATAGGCCAAACCTAGTCCCAGCTGGATTTTATAAATTTTTTTTTAAAAAAAGGGCTCTTTATCCCCACCTAATCCAGCGGGATTATAAAAAAATTGTTGGCTCCCCCTTGTTTGGGAAAAAAAAAAAGGACACATACAACAAATGTCACGTACGTGATGCATTTTAGCCGTCAAGTAAACTTCCATGTGACGGTTCTTACATGTCAAGTGATTTTAATTGACACTTATTAGATGTCAAATAACTACAATGTTGATCCTTAGAGCCGTCAATGAATTGTTAGTTGACGGTTAAAAGGTGTCAAGCGGAACGATTAGTTGACGGTTACAAAGCGTCAAGCACAATGATTACTTGACGGTTAAAAGGCATCAAACATAATAGTTACTTGACGGCTCAAAGCCGTCAAGCGTAAGGATTACTTGACACTTAAAAAGCGTCAATAAATGGGGTACCCCTTTCCTGACAGTGGTATTCTTGATGGTTTTTGCACCGTCAAGTATTACGTTTCCTGACACTTTTTAGCCGTCACTAAAGGGTGTTTTTCTTGTAGTGTCCATTTTCTATTTGGGCATATATGAGGTTAGACCTAGAAAGATACTCGGGAAATTGGATAGCATTAGGCTCATTAAGAACTAAAATTCGCCTCCATCTCTTTGAATGTTTGATTCATCTATGTTGTAGCCTAAGATCCAATGATTTAAATTTATATGCATGTTTCCTTCAATGGATTGGTGCAAAATTTGCTTTTACAAGAATATGATGCTTTTAACCCACAACCTTGCTGGAAAATAGATTGCCTAACGAGGATGTCAAAATATATTGGAAGTCAAAATAGTATGATGGAAAATGGTTTGTCTGTAATTTTGTCAAAGAGCATAACCATGATTTCTATTGAGAGCATATGTTAGTATGAAAATTGTATTGGCATTTCTTAGACTCTAGCATAGGTTGTGAAAGAGTCTGGGTGAATATCCGTTGGAGCCATCATTGGTGCAACTCAATCAATTCAAGATTTTTTCCACTTGTGATTTGATAGGAGGCATCTGATTCAAGTAAATCATGACTTAATCAGGCATTCATTTTAGGATATTCGTTTAGAGTCATTATCAATCAAGTCTCTATGTGAAAACCTATTTTTAAGGAATCTGGTATTTGTTTAAGAAAGCTTTTTTGAAGATATGCTCTAAATGTGTCCTTGTCCTTGTCTTCACATTTAAGTAATTTATTTTGTCCTTGGTTTCTGTTTTCTTTGGAAGTCACATTTTTCTCTTCGTCAAAATTAATTGAGATTTTCTTGGTATTAATTTTGAGGATATTGGATTTTATTTGATAGAGTGATTAAATGATTATCTGTCACATCCTGGACTCGGGGTACAGTGAAAATCCCATGCTTGGTGAGTGAGAAAAAAAAAAAGAAAAAAAAAAAGAAGACGAAATAAGGTTTAAAATTAACTTCTCTTATAAAAAAAAGATCCAAAGTCGTTCAAGTGTACAAAAAATAAGTAAACCTCTATCACTCTCATCTAATTCAACCTCAGCTCACCTAACATCTGTCTTTTCAATTTTACAAGGGTGAGCGAAACCACATCTCAGTGGGGACATGAACCTTTTCACGGTAAATTAAGTGAAAATCAATGCTATTGATAAAGCCCATCAATCTATAGTTGCCCATTTCATCTTGAAATGTTCTTCGCGTTGTCCTAAGCATGACGGTATGCTCGGATTTGAATTTGGTCACCGTTTGACTATCGAACGGATATTATGTGATATCCACGTTCAATAGGTTTGGACCGTTAGATCGATTCAGTTTCAAGTTATGTTGTTCCCTGTACCTCTAGCATAGTGTAGGAACTTACAGATCAAGAATTGGCGTTTTGGATACGCCGAGTCAATGATTCTAGGGTTGGGCGAACCATTCGTCATCCGATTGTGTGACTGGTTTAGATTCAACTGCTCAATCAAGATCAAACCTTCGGGAATTGTTTAGTAGACTTTGTTGGGCCTATAGGAACTTTCGAATCTGAAATCGGAGGTCGTGGGCCCCGCGAGCCTAATTGATCTAGATGGTGAGCCTCGCCGGCCTAATCGAGACCTTTTGGTTAGGAGGCATATGTGCTTTGGTTGTTTGATTTTAAATTGGTATTTTGCTATGAGAGTTTTATTAATTGTTTATGAATTATTGTTCTATCGCTTTTACTTTCTAACCATGATATATCTATGTTTAATTTTATGTGTTAAATGATTTAAAATTGGATTCTGTTGCCTTCAAAAATACTGTTGCCTTCAAAGGTATTGATGTCTTCGCACATCCACGTTGCGTTCGGAAATATTGTTGCCTTCGGAGATATCGATGTCTTCAGACATCCCGGTTGCCTTCGGACATATAGTTGCCTTTGGAATGTCTTCGTACATACAGTTGCCTTCGGAATGTCTTCAGACATATAGTTGTCTTCAGATTGTCTTTGGACATCCCAGTTGCCTTTGAATTTGTCTACGCACATATGACATTGCCCCAGAGTCTCGGAGACGCTCGAACTGTGTGGTGCTAGGATTTGTGTCTCAGGTTGACCACTTATCCTTGAGTTCTGCTAGGATTTGCATCTTGGGCTGACTTCGTGTCCCCCGATTCTGCTAGGATGTGCCACATGTGGAGTGGATTGTTCCACATGTGTAGTACTTGGAGTTGACGGATTATCCAAGGAATTGACGGATTATGTTTGGAGTACACCTATGTGGAGAAAAGTGCAGTACTGATATGTTTATAAAGTTAACAGGATATTCTTCGCCACCTTACTCATATTATCTGCACAGGGTTGGGCAGGATCCCCAACCACTTGCCCAATTTGTATACACTTGTGGGTGTTGTAGGACATATGCACTATGTGGAGGGTTTGCCTTCGGAGCTATTGATGTCTTCGAACATCCCAGTTGCCTTTAGAGATATCGATGTCCTCAGACATCCCGGTTGCCTTTGGAATGTCTTCAGACATACAGTTTCCTTCAGAATGTCTTCGAACATATGGTTGCCTTTGGATTGCCTTCGGACACCCCAATTGCCTTCAAATTTATCTACGTGCATATGACATTGCCCCACAAGTTTCGGAGATGCTAGAACCGTGTGGTGCTAGGATTTACGTCTCATGTTGACCACTTATTCTTGAGTTCTGTTAGGATTTGCATCTCAGGCTGACTTTGTGTCCCTCAATTCTGCTAGGATGTACCACACATGTGGAGTGGACCGTTCCAAATGTGTAGTACTTGGAGTTGACAGATTATCTATGGAATTGACGGATTATGTTTGGAGTACACCTATGTGGAGAACATTGCAGTACTGATATGTTTATATTGTTAATAGAATATTCTTCGCCACCCTGCTCATAGTATCTGCACAGGGTTGGCCAGGATCTAGGGGTGGCAATTTCAGACACGACCCGATACACGACTCGAAACCCGCACGATAAAAAAACAGGTCAATTTCGGGTCAACCCGTTATGACCCCTTTATTAAACGGTTGAGTTTCGAGTCAACCAGCTAACCTGCTATAATACATGTCTAACCCGTTTATTAAACGGGTCGTGTCAACCCGCATCCGACCCATTAACCCATTTTATTTGTAAACTCTAAAACCCTAGCAGAATACTTATTAATAATTTAATACCCTCTAAAAAAATAATACGCATATATATACAGAAATTCTGTTATGCGGACATCCGGACGTTATTATCGTGCGGACGTCGTGTATTTTGTACTACTCCTCTCTGTTTTCCTATCTGTTTACAATAGGATCCGCACGATAATAACTTGCGGATATCCGGATAAGAGAATAACTATATATATATATATATATATATATATATATATATAATATAAACATTCCCTCATAAGTTCATAACCCTAGCCTCTCACTCGTACTTTACACTCTGATACTTACTCACACACAGCTGCCCAGCCTCATCTGCTCACCAAACCAATTGTCTCCTCTCCAAGTCCAATCCAAGCCTCATCTTTACTCCCTATGCTTTGGTCTTATCTCCGTCTACCTCTCGACTCTCTCTCGTCTACCTCTCGAATACCCAAATGATGAGAAAGGCTCTAAAATTGCCATAGCCAGAGTCACCCTTCTGTCTTCAAGCATCATCCACCACGACCCAGTATCAGGAGCCCCCAAAACGCCGCAATCATCCTCCACATGTAAGTGGTTGCTGGGTTTTCTTCATATTTCGTTTTGCCAAATGTCTATATTGCTTCACAGCAGCTTTTGACTGCTTGGATGTGTTTTTCTTTCATGCTTCAGTAATTTCTAAAAATGGCAACCATTTACATATAACAAGTAAATGGCAACCTTTGTGTTTGTGAAAATGCCCAAATGATAGATACCCAATGATATTTTGTCTATCTAATTGTATACATGTTGTCTTCACACATTGTTGTTGGGCTTCCATTAATGTCACAAGATGCATTTTCATATGCAGCCTGTTTCCTTGAATAATTTTAACTTGTTTGACATGCAGTTATGCACTTATGTTGTTTTGCATAGATTCTGCTTGATTTATTTTTTTAATATAAAATTATTATGTTTCATATAGGTGGAATGGATCCTTTTGAAGGTGTATCCGAAAGTGCTGAAGGTGGAGTTGTAGAAGTTAGAAACAATGTGGTTGATTCATCAAACAACAACAATGCTATTGTAACTCAGACTGGTAAGCGGCGTAGAAAAATCACATCAGCGGTATGGACTCAATTTGAAATTCTTCCTATAGATGAAAATAATGAGCAAAGAGCAAAGTGTATGAAATGTGGTCAAAAATATTTGTGTGATAGTAGATGTGGTACTGGAAATTTGAAGTGTCTTATTGATACCCGTGATTT